TATTTGAGCTGTGACTGAATTTGGCTTCCAATAAGATTAACAGTCTAATAACTTAAAAATGTAGAATGAAGAGTTATGTGAACGACTGGCACTGATTATTTTGGAGGTGAAGGGGGGGAAGAATAGAAAAAGAGGAGAAGAGAAGCGAATATTGTGGTTGGTTTTTTATATATAGTATCTCTGGTTTTAAAAGAAAATGTGAAATTTGTGGACGTCCAAAGACACGATGCTGTTTTTACTGTGGTGCTGGTGTTCTTTCTATGCACTATTTGTACTGTGCCCTTTGGAACTCTAGTCATAGATGGCAGAACAATGAATTGATAATTGCACCAATTATGTATCTTTAAATGTTGGTTTTTCACTTGTATCTTGTAGATGACATGATAGGAAGCCAGCAACACCCAGTAATTTCTTGATGGATCACTTCCTTTTAAGTATTCTTTACATTATATTCATTAGCTGAAATAAGCTAATGACTAGATGATTGGTAATCATTTGTACTGACCAGCCCCACCTTTCACGCACAATTTGGTTTTGTAGCTGGAATGTGAAGGCTTATGTGCAATACACAAATAAATGAGACTAATATAAAAATTCATCAGTGAATTTAAAATAAAAGTACGTAAAAGCGTTAAGGTTTGCAGTGTCTTGCATCCTCTGTCTTTACATTGTAGCTATGAATGTGTTAAAGTTCATAACTTGGGCACAGAGAATCTGATAATTCATCAGGCCACTTAAAGAGCGTCAGGATTTTTAGGTGTTGCAGCCTGTCTGTAACTTTTCTGATTTTTGTGTTTTTCAGCAGACCTGCTGGCTTATGCTTCCACACCAAATACGGAGGTCTTCTGGAGGAGTAGGAATTCAACACTGCAACATGCTTTATATAATTCAGAAATTTAAAAATAAAAATTCTTCAGTGTTTCAGTCTACTTGTGAACTTTCACGGTGGCATTGCCTTGCTGTACAGGACTTTGAAAGCAGCTGTTTTAGCAAATATACAGCAGAATAAGAACAAAAGTAGGAGAATTTGAAAGAAAAAAAAAAAAAGAGGAGAAAAGAAAAAGGCAGCAGTGTCATGACCAAATAGGTCAGCACAGGAGCATTGTAGTCCGTATGTGTGAAGGTCCATAGCATTAAAAGGAAAGATCATCTAAACTGTCTTCCTATATCTATCAGCAATGAGCAATTCTTTACATGGTCACCATTTCATGTTATATAGTGAATTATCTTTATTGTTTGGGGTTAAAGTTTTTAGACAATGAGTAAATAAATGGCACACCTTGAAAAATAAACACTTTCCTCTTGGGGCTGGGCCTACATAAAGGTGAGGTGATCCCACAGTAAGTCTGTAACAAGAAACGGCAGGTTTTACGTAGCAGGCACACTGAACATTGTTTCCCAGGACTTCCAAGCGAGGACTGGAATCTAGTTTGGTTCCTGCTCTATTGTTGTGAGCATGCCTATTCTAAAATGCATCCAATTCTCTTCCATCATCCGGGAAGTGGCACAGTGACAAGTGGTTGTAACTATGCAAAATCTGGTAGTATATTAAGTGCAGAACAGCAGAGTTTGATTCCTTGTTGAACTGAAGTGAGGGTGATTGAATGTTGGAACAGGTTTCCTGGGGAGGCTGTGGAATCTCCATCCTTGGAGATGTCCAAGATGCAATTGGATGAGGTCGTGCACAACCTGATGTGGTTAGATATGCTTTGAGCCGGGGTTGTGCTTGATGGCCTCCAGAGGTCCCGTCCAACCTAAATTATTCTTTGATGCTGTGAAGGGGCAGTTTGTACCTGGGAGTTAGTGTGCCACAGAATCAAGTGTCTTCCTGCTGGCTATGCCCATGGGGTATATGCAACCCCCCGTGAAGGAGTTTCTGCCCTCCAAGTGGAAGGCAAGCTCCTTTCAGCGTTCCTGTTTGTTCTACAAACTTGCAAATTACTGGATTTAATCTGAAACTTGAACACCCACATAATTAGTACATTTCATAGACGGCAAGAGGCTTTTGTTTGTATGAACTTTCAGGTTTGTAATGTGAGAAGAATGTGTGTGCCTGCTGAGGAAAAGCACACGTTTTTGTTCCCTGTTGCTTCTGTTCTGCTGCACTGAGGGTGGCTGAGACTGGCTTGAAGTCTGGAAAATAACTGTAAGAACAGCAGTAGGGAATGGGGAGTATGTTTGTGCTTATCCTTTTCTAGTTGTTGCAATATAAAATCCACTCATTTGGCAGATGAAATGAAAGGTGCCCCCCTTTGCACACACTAATTGCCAGCTCTCTAAACCTCCTAGGAATTTCCGTTTTCTTTGGCTCACGTCATCTTCAGCAGTGGAGGTTTTGTAATTGGAATTTTGTTAAAGATTTGTCATATCTGTGAGCCTAAGCAACACTTTCCTAGTTCTACATTTTTGTTTGTGTATTTCAGATAGCAGTAGGGTAAAGTAACAAATTGCGTTGATTAGAATTCACATAGTGGGTGTATGACTGACACAAAAATTACCTCTTCTCAGTCGCTTGTGGGAGTCTAGCAGGGCATTCAGATCGTGTGGTACTAGGTGCCATGCGTGGAGTACGAGATGGGTTGACACTGCAGTGTCTTTGAGGGGGGGAATCTTTCTGGATAGAGTAATTTTTACTGGTAGTGTTTCAGTGTTTTTGTTGTTGGTGGTGTTTTTGTTGGTGGTGGTGTTTGTTTTTTTTAATATATGTTTGGGTTTTTTTGAATGGTTAATCTGTTAGCCCTTCTTAATTTCTTGTTAGAAGGTCATGGTCAGGAGTCACAGAATCACAGAATGTCAGAGATTGGAAGGGACCTCAAAAGATCATCTAGTCCAATCCCCCTGCCGGAGCAGGACACCTAGATCAGATCACACAGGAACGCATCCAGGCAGGCTTTGAATGTCTCCAGAGAAGGAGACTCCACAACCTCTCTGGGCAGCCTGTTCCAGTGCTCTGTCACCCTCACTGTGAAGAAGTTTTTCCTTATATTCAAGTGGAACCTCAATGAATGTAAACTATTTATTTCATAATGGGAAACTCTGAACAGCCCTAACTATATTGTCAAGGGCATGAAACGGAATTGATTAGTATATTTTTGTTGGCAGGTTATTAGTAGAAATGACAGTCAAGCTGGACTTACTAGTATACTAAGAACACTACTTTTCTAAGCTGATACCAAACACTTCTATCTGAGTATGTGGTAACTTCAGTTGATTTTATTGTGCATAACTTATTGTATTATGGAAGGTAATAATTTGCTTCTTATTTCACTGTGGACTACCACATTGTCTTCCTCCCTTCCATTGAGAAATTTATGATAATCTTACAAATTTTGGTTTTTTGACATTAAAGTACAGTTCTTTTAGTAGAGAGATAGGAAGGATAAAGGAGGCAACATAAATGTGTTCAGATGACTTCAGTTTTCTCCAGACACGTGCAACAAAAACTCCCTTGTGTTTAGTTTCTGTAGGCTAGAACTTGTTGGACTTTGGTCTTTTGAGGATTTCTACTGATTATAGGGGAATAAACAAAATGATTAAAATCAGATTTTACAGATTAGAACAGCCGTGCAAATCTTGTTCAGAGTTACTTTATTCAGAAACTACAGTTGCACAAAGCAGTCTGTAAGATAGAAGATATTTGGAAGAATTTTTGGCATATGCTTTATGTGTACCTTGAAGTGCTCTGAAATTCACTGCACATTAATGAAGAGATGGTGCTGGTCTCCTGTCCATTTTGTACCGAGTGCTATCTCCGCCGGATTTCACACATTGAGGGAAACCACAGGGACTGATGCCACATGTAAAGATGAGGCATAATTTCCCCTTAAATCCTGTGTCCTAGGGCAGGGGTTTGGGGTGGATTTCTGTGCCTGCTTCCTGCACATCCTGCCAGAGGAGAGGGCAATGCTGCAGCAGGCAGCTGTGGTGGGTGCTGTGGCCTTGCCTCTCCTTGCCCCGCTGCTCTCTCTGCAGCCCTCTGTGTGCAGAGCAGCCCTTGCTGTGGTGTAAAGCCCAAGCTAATAAATCCTGCAGAGCTTGTTAGCCTGGGCTTTGCTCTTCTCGGGGCTTTGCCTTTGAAGACAAGCCTCAGCAGCTACAGGCTGATGGTTGAGGGGGCTGCTGTAATTTCCCTTTTTTTAAAAAGTATGTTTTCATACACAAAGATGGTAAAGTCTTCTGGCACTTGGTTGTTGGAGAAGTGTATGCCTAGGCTGTATTTCAGACTTGTTTCCTGCAGCACCATGTGTACCATGCATTCAACTTGTAGTTAATTTTACATGTAGATCTTCCTTATCTGCAGGACAGTTGCTGGGAAACACATGCAAAAATGGAAGATAACTGTGCTTCTATTTGTTACAAGTCTGTTGTTTGTTTTTAAATTTTTGTCAGGGCTTCAGTTGGAAGCAGAAAGCCCTGCCTTCCCAAGCCCTGGGAGGTGGAAGTGCTAGTCACGCGAGACCTTTGGGGTTTTTTGGGTCAGCAGTTAAATAGTTAATTGCTATTTGTATTTTATCTTTATAATTCATAAATAATACATGACTAGATCAAATAGGAGAGTTAAGACTGTATTTGTTTAATTTTACTAACATACTGACAAATTTCATACGTAACCAGGAAAGTCACAGGCTTAAAGTTGTTCTTTTTTGTTACTTTGTCCTGTCCCCCACCTCCTCCTCCACAAATTATTTAATACCTATAGATGTGACTTGCCAGTGCTGGTGAGAAACCTTAAAATCTCTGAATAGGAAAGTTATGTAAATCATAAATAGTGCTTTCGTAAATCTATCTTTGCCACTGAGTGTTTTGTCTCTGTGAAAATACTGTGTGTTAAATTTTGAAAGCAAAATATAGCTCTGCAGTGTATGCTTAGGGGTTTTCCTGAGTTGACTCTAGAAGTGACCAATATGATGCTTTTTTTTTTTTTTTTAAGCCAGGGATGTGCGATGCTGCTGTTGCTTTGTGACCTGCTGTAATTTGGAGAAGTCAAATGGTGAATTTTCTCTCAACAGAAAATTTTTAAAGCTGGCGATACTAACCAGGATGGACAGCTAGATTTTGAAGAATTTATGCAGTATCTTAAAGATCATGAGAAAAAGATGAAACTGGCATTTAAGAGCCTGGACAAAAACAATGATGGTATGCATTGATTTATTTTATTTGTTCAAATGTTATATGCATTATAAGTTATCTTCATTTATATTTTTTGTCTAAACTGGAGACAAAAAGCTTTGAATGTGGAGCCTGTACTACTTTTCTTTAATAGGATCATAATTATAGTTCACTATAGATTGAAATAAGAAGTTACTGTAGTTTTTTTTTTTCTTTTTATTATTTTCCAGGTCCATTGATCTGGGACTCCTTGTTCCTCAGATGGAGAAACTATAAGGAAGTTTCTAAGCATCTATTAAAATAGTTTCTAACTCGCTGAATGTTTGTATCTCATTTGGTTGCATGATTGTAATGTACTTACCTTCACTCAGTCCTTGTAGTAGACAAAATACATCATCTGTGTTTCAATTGATTTTAAATTATCTTTGCCATTATGTAGGTGTTACGATGGAACTTAAAGAGCTCCAAGGTGCTAAGTGTATTAAGCTCCATGTTTTAAGTGTGTATCCTCTTTCTTTTAATGTTTCAAGGAAAAATTGAAGCATCAGAAGTTGTCCAGTCCCTCAAGATATTGGGTATAAGCATTTCAGAAAAACAGGCAGAAAAGATCCTGCAAAGGTCAGTATTTTAAGCTTATTTGTGTTGTTAATTATTATATTTTTATAATTCAGAGAACAGGATAAATAGGACTATAATTCTGAAACATGTTGGTACCTTCAGGGGTGTCTTTATAGGAATTCTCACATATTTCATCTGGTTTGGGGTGATAGTAAGTCTAGTTGCCATTTGAGCATCTGCTTCTGGGAGGAGAATGTTATCTCATTTCCCTGTAAATGTTGTTGATAGAATGAATGAAGCATTGTATTATGTTTTCAAATGGAATATGCCAGAGGCACTCAGATAAAAAAAAACATAGTATTGAAAGGCCATGGCAGATTCGGCCTTGAAGTCTCCATATGGAATTTACAGTAAGTTATCACTGATGTGATGGCCAATATTTGGAAAAAAAAAAAAAAGGCAAGAAACCAGAACAAAACCCCATCCCTGCTACTGTTTCCTTATGTAGTTCAATTTCTTTTCAGTATTGATGCTGATGGGACAATGACAGTAGATTGGAATGAATGGAGAGATCATTTTATGTTTAACCCAGCTACAGACATTGAGGAAATAATTCGATATTGGAAACATTCCACTGTAAGTTCCACTTTTCTTTTAACTTGGTGCAGCTCTTAAGTTCATCTCTGCTGGGTTAGTTTGGAATAATAACAGCTTTGCAGTTATATTTTAAGGATGCCTGTATACAAGTTTGTTTGGTTTTCCTTTTCGCTCCGTGCTCTTCCATTTACAAGCAGGATAGTGTGAAGTGAGTTTCTTCTGTACAAAGAACTAAACTTTGCCAATAATTATCAGTAATTCTTAGAAAGGAATCCTTTTCTTCCTTTGGAGATGTTCCACAGAGAGATAACAACAATATTAAATCTTGACAGTACATTATTACGTTCAGTGCTTTTGATGTGTTGAAACAAATTATAGAAACATTTTAACTGTTTCTTATGTTGAAATCAGTTCAGTATTTGCATTTATATAGTAATATTATTGTTATCATAACATCACCAGTGTCACTAGCGATGATTTTCTGTGCACATGTTCTCACACTCTTTTGTGCTATAGAATTTCATTTAAGATAGCAATAGGCTATCCATTGTGCAGATTATTTAAGTTACTATTGAATGGAGATCTTGCCACCTCAGTGACTGACTTTTAAGAACAAATAGTAAGGTAAGTAAACCAAGAGTAATCCTATTTGCTGAATATCCTTCCTGTACATTATTGGAGTAATCTGTAAAGTTCAGTAAAGACAGATTTCTTTGAATATAGTGAGACCATTTATATCTTCAGGGATTAGTTACCATTTCCATAATCAAAACCAGTTTATGATATCAGAAAGCTTTGAATGTTTCACACTCTACAACATCAATTCAGAAACACTTGCTAAAAGGGAGTTAGCTCCCTGTTTGCTGAAGAAACACTTGAAGCACTGCTATGAGATCAGATAGTACTGGTCCCAGCCTACACAGTGGAAAAAACCTCTTTACTTTAATAAAATGCTTTGTATTACTATTATTAAACATAAGATCTGGGGTTTTTTTAATTATGGAATGTTATTAATGACCTCCAAGAAACAGTTTTAAAGTCTCTTGTGATCGTCTAGTATTGCAGTCAGCTGATGACCCAGTTATCACAGCAAGCAAAATCCAGCTATACGGCAACACAGCTGGTGTTTCAGATAAGAGCAGATGTGAGACGTTGCGTGCCTGGCTGGCATGGACAACTCTTCCAATTCTGTTTTTATTGTAAAATTTTAATTGCTGTCAGACTCTTCCAAGCAGATAGCTGCATTGGCATAGAATTATTATGAGTTGATAGCTGTGGCCTTTGAAACACCCTCAAATTTACCTTTCTTTTTTTTCAGTTGTGTTTAGGGCTCAGTAGACACAAGGTTTAAACCTTGGTAGATATGTATAATATCTCTAAGAACATTGAATTTATCTTTTGAGAGTTCTGATTGATCTTTGGTGATTCCATGTAGCTGAGCAACTGATGACACCTTAGTTGGAAACCACAAATGTCAGAAAGATGAAAGGATTTTTCAATTAACCTGTTCTGTGTTCAATAACCAGAACAGATGGTGCTTATCCTGTTTGTCCAGTGGCTGTATCTATAATCTGCATCCTGCAATTCTTGTGTTTCAAATGACCAAGACAATACACTGTCCGCTTAACAGATAGGGAATGCAGCATAAATTAGGGATGTAGTGTCTACAACTCAAATCAACAGTAGTTAAAAAAAGAGTTTATCAGTTAACGTGCTTTCTGGTCTGTACTTACCAGTTATTAAAACATTCTTACTACTTTATAGGTATAATTTATGCATAATATTTGCTTTGTATTATCTACAGTGTATTTGTTTCTCATATATCATGTTTATAAATTGCACGAAGAGCGGAGACTGTTTAAGTGATATGTGAGATTCTATAGTCTTATGTCTTGGACAGCTTTATCGCTAAAGCCTATAGTAGTGTTCTTTGATCAAATTGAATGGTAGTACAAACATGCATGTCTTAATGAAATTTCAAATTTTTATAGCCAAAAAAAGTCATTGATGTGTCTTCTAGTATAACTGATAAGAAAATTTATAAAGCATTAGTCAAACTTGTCATTTATGTAAGATAATACACAGCAGTTACCAGGAATAGAATATCCTGATATATCAGCTATGAGAAAGCTACTTTAAGGTGTTGCGGGGGTGGGGTGGGCAGGACCCCACATATGTATGAATAAATTACCATGAGAGAGAAATCTCATGTTAGCATCCTTAGGGGATTACCGAACTAATCTCAGAAGGCTGTCCAGGGAAAGGTTAGCTGCAACATAGAAGCATTTGAGCTTTAGTGCTGACTGTAAAGGTCTACTGATCATGACTGAATGACTTTGTTTGGGCCATGCTCAAGGCAGAGATTTGTCATAATTTTTAATGATGATAGTGCAGTCTTTGAAATGGTGGGTCTGTGGTGTTATTACTCAGTATCTTACATCGATGTCATTAAAAGTTGCTATTCATTGAACAACAATAGCAATCAATAGCAAGTTAATTATAGAATGGAAATTAGAGATTTTTTATTTTTAACTAGCATTTTATTTACATATTCTCAAGTGGTAGGTTAATTTGGAATTATAACTGTTGAGAAAATTGAGCTGATGGAATGAAATTGTTATTTGTACATCTTTACTTTGGATTCTAATAGGTGTTGGATATAGGAGATAGTTTGACTGTTCCTGATGAGTTCACGGAGGAAGAGAAAAAGACTGGGCAGTGGTGGAAACAGCTCTTGGCAGGAGGAGTGGCTGGTGCTGTCTCTCGAACAGGTACAGCACCGTTAGATCGCCTTAAAGTGATGATGCAGGTAGGTGCAAAGTTCAATGACTTTTTAGTTTCCAGTGTATTACTTCGGTTTTTAGAGAGCTATATGGAAAACTGATGGCCAAATATAGTATCTAAATTCTGGACATCTAGTTATGTTTTGACAATTTCCATATTTTGTGTTCATAAAAATTGTCTTTTCCGTAGTCATATTGGCAAAAATGTAAACAAGATATTATAGTACTTGTGCCACTAAAATAAGATTTTTTTTCAATAGTGCATGTGGTTTTGCTAGTTGATATATTTAAGCAATTTAATATTTAGGTGTTGAGTTTGACAATCTCATCAGAGCAGTGTTCTTTACTGTGACTTTGGTTTATCTTAGGTTCATGGTTCAAAATCAAACAAAATGAATATAGCTGGTGGTTTCAAGCAAATGTTGAAAGAAGGTGGTGTCCGATCCCTCTGGAGAGGAAATGGTGTAAACGTTGTGAAAATAGCTCCTGAAACAGCAATTAAGTTCTGGGCTTATGAACAGGTAGGATGATAAATCAGGAATTAAAATAATGGTAAATAAAGTATGATATCAGTCTCACAGTTCATTATTTGCACTGTTGTGTTATGTAGGAGTTCTTATCATGGTTGGAGATTTTGTTACAGTAATTTAGAGTGACTTTCAGATTTCAAATAGTCTGTTTATTCTGTTAATAGAATACTTGGTATTAGGCAGATTTTGCTATTGTATTATAAGCAGTGTAAATAAACTGAATCTGTAATAGATTTTAAACTGTCTTCCAGTCTGCATGGCTTTATAAGGAGTACTGCATTAATATCTAGTTTGTTGCTTCAAAGTCACAACAACCAAGAACTTAGCATGTTATGCTAGCTGAACTTACACAGGATTCTTCTTAAGTCTAATATCATGGTGCTATGTAAGATGCCCTCATCCTGGATTTCAGAGTTATATTTACCTCTGAATCAGCTTTAAGCATCATGTTAAGGCCTAATCCTCCTTTGGAAAATGAACTCCAGTTCTGGTGTAGTTAAATGATCTTTATTTTTCCTCTTTGGGGCTTGTTAGTGCTTCAAGTAAGACTAAATTAATATATTGCACATGTCTGTACAGCTATGAAATAAAAGCAACAAAAAGTGAAGTAAACTTTGGGCTATTTTAAGACTGAACAGCAGATTTCGATGCCGTAGAGTAATTTGAGCACATTATTCCTTACTCTTGCTCTGCCTTTTGGGAGCTGATTTTCCTGCATGATGGTGTGTCTGTCTTGAATGACACAGTATGTACAGCTCTCTGAGTGTCTCTGTGAATGTGCTAGTTGATCTTTTCATTCTTTGATTGGAGAACTGGATCTGCAAGGAAGTCGGGTTCCTCTTTGTTATCTGGGGGCTATAGTGTGGGTACCCTGTGCTGGCTGTTTGTAAATACCTGACAGTACTGTGGGTGGCTGAGGTGTTTAATGAAAAGGATTCTTGCAGGCTGGAACATTTATGGTATTCTTGAGAATCTTTGTCCACAGAGTTGCAGTGAGTATAGTGCTAAATTTGTTGGGGTCGTAAATGTAACTGAATACATGAAAAAGCTTGAAAGGACATTTTGTACTCCTGCCTCTCGTAGTAACTCTTGCCTTTCCTAAAAAGCGTGTAATGTTTATTTTATCTGTTTTAACTATACAGTATAAGAAGATACTCACTAAGGATGATGGAAACTTAGGTACCGTTGAAAGATTTGTATCTGGTTCTTTGGCTGGAGCAACAGCACAAACTTCTATTTATCCCATGGAGGTAAGTAACAGAGAATCTGCTTCCGTTGGAAACACTGCCAAATGTCTGGTTCATAAAGCCAAGTGCTGGGTCCTGCAC